GCACTAAATTCCGAAATAGGATAGGGAAACAAATGTCACAAGGAAACCATTCGAGAGCGTTATACGAAATTCAACGGTAAGCTAAACATGTAGTGCGAAAACAATTTTTTCTAGAACTTCTCTTGATAACATTCTTGATGGTTCTTACATTGAAGAAGAAGACTAAGATGATGTGTTCCGATTTGAATCTTGATTTTGTTAAATGTTATATGTTGTCATCAAGCTCTCCACCTCCCCCCCCCCCCCTCACAACCATAAAGAATTTTTCTCTAATAAAGGGTATTGCACAAACACAAACTAAAAAAAACAAATAGGGGGTCGGTTCATGAAGGTACTAAGTTTTTATTGAATCTTTTCGTTTCGTACTTAGCTTATAGATGAAATAAAATCCCGATTGGATGCTGTATGTGGAAAATCCAACACACTCATGACGCACAGCACAGTAGATAATTACGATGCACTGACGGTCGATGAGAGAAAAATTGAGTTAAGCCGCTTTGGTTTAGAAGACTATATACTCGAAGAAGAGTTTTCTGGTTTCCCGCAATGGATTTACAGTGGTTGGGATGACTAAGCATAATCAATAAAATTTCCATATAGGAGATGGAAAAATTGACTCACCAATCTACTTAGAGATTGCAAGAAAGCGTATTGTACACCCTTCTAAGAAGGATGAAACAGTTTACTTTGTTGAGAGTATGGACGGAAATTGAGTTTCCCGAACTCATACCATCACTAAAGTCATCAAAAACATCGCCGAGTTGCTCTGCATGCACCCTTCATGCAAGAAACATAGAGACTTCTCTTTTTTTTTGTGTGTACATAGGTTGTTTTCAGACTATTTAGAAAGTTGAAAAAAAGTTTCTAGCTTGACCGTATTCAGAACCCACGGATGGCACCAAATTCCGAAATAGCATATAAAAGCAAAAGTCACAAACAAACCATTCAAATGCATTATATGGAATTCAACGGTAAGGTACACATTTANTGTAATCTAATCAGTCTCTTCATAGAATCCTTCAACTCTGGTCCTGTCACAGGATCCATGATCTTCGTTGATCGTTTTCTCCATCTTATAATTTGTGTAAGTATTCTTAGCACCTTATTCAGCGGAAGGCTCGTTAAGTTTGGCATGTGATCTATGTTCGCCTCCTCGTTTCCGTTGTTGTTATCACATTGACTATGACGTTGTCCTCCTCCTTTGTTTCGAGATCCTCGTATGGCATCGTCGGATGAGTACTTTCATCTTGTGTTATCCAATGTGGTCCCTTTATCCAAACACTCTCTTGGATCTTGTTATTGTCTGTCCAGCCTCTGCTACCTATATCTGCTGGGTTATGTTTCGTTTCCACATAGTAAATTTTTATATCAGTTCCTTGTTCTTGCATGGTCGACAAAATTTTTCTAATCTGTGCACACTGACCATCTACAAACATTGGCAGTGTCTTGTTAGATCTTATCCACGATAATGCAATCTGACTGTCGCTTAAAATCCTTATTTTCTTCAGCTGTTTGCTTGTTGCTGAATGTAAGGTTTCCGCTAACCTTGATGCCATGACTAAGGCTATAAGTTCTAGCCTTGGAATAGTCAATTTTCTGTTACGCGGAGCTAGTTCTGTTTTTCCAGTGAGTATTTGCGATACTTTGTCATTGGTCTGTACGTAAGCGCAGGTTGCAGTTGCAGTAAAGCTTGCGTCACAAAATACCCACAGAATACTTTCGTCTTGAATGTTCGCGTTCCTTTTTACAGTAACTTCACTGTTGTTGATGTCGTGAATCAGTTTATTCCATTTGTCGGCAACTTCTTGTGGAGTTTTGTCCTTCCAATTCAGTTTCATGTCGAACACTTCTCGCAAAATCAACTTAAATGGTAGAAGTACTGGAGCCAGAAATCCTAGT